ACCACAGAAGGCAAAAAATTGATAGCGACTCTAACCAGTTCCTCTTGGGGCTGCTTTAACAGCAAAAAACCTCACGATTAATGAGATTAAATAACAAAAACTCAGACATGATTCCAAACACTGCAGTGTAGATCGGGCGAGTATAGAAGCGTTACGGTGTGGACAACACTTGCGCGTATAAAATGGCCATAGAGCGCACACTCTCACGCATTCGCCCATGGCCATTTCTGCATGCAAATGTTGTCGGCAACGTAAAACACCGAAACATTTTTCTGCAAAAATGTGTTTATGAGCTTTACCAACGTATTCTCGGAGCGAGCTGTTAAAATGTGAAATGTGAGAGGTTGTTTACTGCAATGCAAAACCTCGAAAAGCAAAAGTGCATGCCAAAATTCCACCATTGCTTTGTGATTGTGTGTCTAAGAAAATTAGGGATCAGATTGTAATTAGAGTTAGGGTACAACACAAAACGCAGCAGAGTCTTCGGAAAGAAACTGAATCTGAAAAAAAGAATTAACTGTGTTCTTGAGCTCGCGTGAAACTTTTTTCTAGCCATTTTTTACAGGTAATTCAAGTAAAGCTCCATCATTCTAAGCTAAAACTGCTTTGAACTAGTTAGCTTCACAAAGACAATTAGTCACTTGATCAAAGGTTCGTAATAACAAAAAAGTTCTCGCACAGTTTTGAGATGTGAATTGCATGTGAACAAGACGAAATCAATTTTCGGACGCGAAATGAGAACTAGTGACTTTCTCACGTACAAATCTGTCACAGAAAACAACATCATTTTTTTCTTTTATTATATCGACAAAACTTGGAACAGGATCTCTGGTGATTGCGCACTTCAGACCAGATTTAGTGGAAACAAATATCATTGCTGATGTAGTGCTCCTGCGGTGCCGACAACATTTGCGCGAAAAATTTCATGCGTGTGAGCCGGCAGCACATAATGTCATCATGGCGCGGATTTTCTACAGCGCCAAAACGCTGTATCAGATTCGTCAGGCTATACTTCCTTCAGGGCATCCTTCATATGCATATTGAGTCTTACTTATGCTGCTCTCGTAGAATCTAACAGTCATAGTAGACATTCAGTTTTGAGTTGCTTCACAGTAGATGCTAGAACTGAGTTGCTCCTTGTTAGATCACACTATGCATGCCGGATCCGCGTTGGATCCACACCCTGTTCAGTTATATTGTGTTTATGCGAGGAATCGTTGTTGCTCTTTACACCCTCTAATGCCCTTTCCGTAGTGTGTGCTGTAAACCTCGCGTCGTTCAAATCACGTAATACATAATTCAATTTATATAGATCAGAAGATGGATGGCTACCCTAGGGCCGTGATGATTACCGACTACGATCGCCGTAAGCAGATTAGTGTGCGCGGTATCGCACAGGTGGAAAATGTTAGCAACATCAAGAAGGCTTTCAATAGACATCTGCATTTTTCCATCATCAAGGTGAGACCCAGAATATTCTAGATATGGACCAACACGTTTTCCATAAAATAAGGCGGAAAGAGAGGGGGTCTCAAACAGAAGAATTTAACCTACTCTCGATGCAACCGCATAACAGGCCTCACCGTGTTTGACACGTTTGACAAGTACAGCACAAGTTCAGTCAAGAAATACGCGCTTTTCAAAGCACGGATGCCAGGAGCACCGGCTGTTCCGCGTTAGGCTGCGTTCATACTGATCCCGAAGTCCGGGAACA